TCCGTTTGGCAACCGGTGGACCGCTAGTGGGGAAATGTGCCCATATCTTCACCTGAGATGACATTACTTTAAGTGGGGAATCCCTCCCCTGCCTGCAGAAGGAAGGCGGGAGGACCGCGGAGAGGTCCACTGGGAGGCAGGCAGCACTGGAAGCGCTCTCCATACTCCTCTCCCCAGGCGAGCTGGGCGCGCAGCAACCATAAACTCTACTCGGAATCCCGCCGCTGTCCTTCCAACTTCCACTCCAGCCCAGGGGGGGAAAGCTGAGATTTGGGGACTAACGTTATGTCCCTTCTGGGCGGGCACCGAAGCCAGCCCGCAGCTGGAAGCTGGCCTCGGTCCCAGAGAGGCAGAGCCATTTGGACCCAGTGGGGCAGACTGCTGCCCACAGGCCTGGGAGAAAGTGGGGCTCTGAGCGGAGCTGTTCTGGGTTGGGAGGGGGTCCGTCCGGCACGCTGGACAACACCCGCCCCAACTCCACATTCAGTGTCCGTGGACAAGGGATGTCCGCTGGTGGCCACGTCCAGCAGCCGCGCTAGGGCGGCCCCGGGCGCCCACCTCTAGCCTCCCGCGTACACGGTGGGCTTCGGGGACCGCAGCAAAAAACGGTTCCAGGGAACCGCGCTGGCTCCTCCGGCTGCACACCGCCAGGCCGTGGACGAAGGGCTCCCACCTCCCTGCTCTGCCAACTCCTGCAGCTCGCCCTGCACACATGATGTAACCGGCATTAGATCAAACTTTCTGGCACCTTGAGCCCACCCAGGGGTGGAGGAGGTGGGAGAATCTTCTCCACTGCCAAGAGCGCCGGGCCCAGACTGACCCAGGGGCCAGATCATTTCCTTGCAGTTAAAGAGGAAAATAACCTAAAGCTTCCGCTCCCCAGCCCCCTCACTTCCCCCAGCCCATGCGCTTTTTGAAAGCACCGAGAAAAGAAAAAAATTAAAAAGAAAAAGAAAAAAAACTTTGGGGATATTTGGCGGGTCTCCCTGCAATCCCTGCGCACCCACGCTGCAGGCCGGAGCTCCCGGAGGTGCGCCCCGGGGCAGCCCGGGACCAAGCCCTGCGCCGGTATCGGGAT